CATATTGCTCGCTGGGGTCCTCCACCAACGCCTCCAATTCATCCTGTAATGCATCATATTTCTCATATAAGTTTTCAAATATATTAAGGCGATACTCAATTTCCACGATTTGCACCTCACTTAACTTTTCGCAAGACTTAGAAACGCTTAAATAAGAATTAAACTGCGTAAGCTTGGCTTTGATTGAAGCTCGCTTCTTAATAAAGCTTTTTATGTCAGCCATGGCAGTGAAATTTTAGCAGATGCAGTAGAAAGAAGAAGCAGAAATATGGAAAAAGTAAATGTAAAAAAAATACTTTTACTTTATTAATAGCAACAAGTAGCGAATGTGCACAAAATTATACGCAGTGAGAAGTTTTGTTGCTATTACAAAGGTGCTAGGCGTTTCAATTGTTCATGCTAAGTGCGAATGACGCAACACTTTTGTGCACACGAAATTTCAAACAAAAATAAAAAAAAACTGAAATAATGCAAATAATATGGACTAGAATTACATGAAATATGAGGAATTGTGATTGGCAGTTTGAAAAAATAAAATTTGGTCACAATTGTAACGGACTTTTTTCAAACCTGGTATTGCATTCAATAACAAAACACTGCTTATACAAGTTAATAGGCTGAAGATTATGGATTTATGGAATTATTATTTGAAAGAAACCACTAAATAAGTTGAAATTAAAAAAGCAAAAATGGCAAAATATTGGAGCAAAGGAATTGGAACGTTCTCACGGTTTTATGCTGTCAACCTCTGATGAGCTCATGAGATGATGACTGTCCGAAGAGTAGACCGACGTGTAGACTCGAGGAGTCTTCTTGTTCCGAAGTCTCGGTGATTTTTTCTTGCGCCGCCCGTTGGATGTGCACTCGATGAAGACGACTGCTGCCGTATCGATGCTCACGATGACCAAATGCAGGCGATGACACGAAGAATATGATGATCACTTGCGAAACTTGAACTCGAAGACGAAGTCTATTGTTCTCCAAGCGACGGTTGAAACCGTTGGACCGTTGATTTTCGAAAATGTGAAGAATTTCCGTTGCCGACGACTTTCTTTGTTCGGTTCAAACGTTAACGGTAGAAGGACCAATAAACGCGACGATAGCTTGTTGTCGATGTGATAAAATAAAAAATGCGAGTGGACTGTATATAAAATGTAATGAAATGAATAATAACGGAATAACAAGAAATAATACGAAATATGGCAACAAGTAATAAAAATGCGTGAGCGCAGCCGTGCGTCTAGGCGTGCCACCGCTGCTGACTGGCGCGACGCGGGGCGCGGGCTCGGCTGTAGACCGGCCGGCGAGCCGCACCCCCCCGCGTCCCTCGTTCACTGCCGCTGGCGCGCGGGCGCGCCCGGCAATGTTGAGACAGGTGCCTCAACACTTAGTGATTTAAGTTTTCCAATTTTCCTTTTACTAAGATTCGAGTGCTTAAGCACATTTAAGTACTTAGGTATCTTAATTATTTATTTTAGCTCGACGTTAGCAGCTTAATTAGTTAAGTTAGTTAATCAGTCAATCTTGTTTGTTTTGTGTATGTATGTTATAAGAATGAAGTAGATTATATTGTCACTGCGTAATATTCGTACAAAATGAACTCTGTGTAACAATGCTTTAATTACCATAAACACAATATTGCTAAGCAGATTCGTAATATCTGCAGTTACACTGTGTACATTGTTTATTTATTTGTTATTGTATTGCTCGAGTTAGTATCATGTGTAAAAGTTACATTTCTAAACATCTGGTTGGTTGTAAGGTAACACTTCCTTCAAACCTTTCATGAATAGATTATTTTTATTATTTTTGCTCTCCTGGTTTTACACAGCGTATTCTCTGCTGAGCCGCTCGGGGCCGCTTTATGTGTCAGCCTTGTCGGCACTCACCATAACACTGACGTGAAACAAACTGTTACTCCCTCTTTCCTTTACAACAATGTAAAACCTGGTTTCATGCTTTTTCTCAAACAGAACCTGTAATACCTACAGTTTTATTGATACACTTATAATTATTAAACTGTCAAACACCGCGAGGACACCGGTGACCGCAACCTATTGTTCTTTAATTGTGTCTTTAATGACGGTACTCAGAGGGTTAAATAGATCTCACTTTCAGATATAAACCAAACTCAAGATCTCATATTCTGTTCTTGCATGATGTAGTAAAATAATCCTATTAAAAGTTTTTCCACAATATGTCCATCTTCAGTGTGCATAATCCAGTTAAATTCGTACCCGTACATCATTAAAGAAGCGTAAAGAAATACATCGCACGAACCAGACAATGGTCGTACCCACTTCCCAAATTGTGTAGCAATAAATTTCTTCGCGGAATGTTCACCATCCGTCATTGTAAAAACGGGAAAAAAAGGAAAATTGTTGAAATGTTTTCTAAAGAGTATAAAGGACTAACCTTAACGTCCTCCCAGATAACAATAGATACCTCTTACTTTCTATTCAAAATATCCTTTTGTCACTAAATCCGCAAAGAATAGCTTAGTCACAGACATCTTTTAGTAAGTACTGAAATCTTTAAATTCTCCTTAAATATTCTGTATTCGCAATTGTCTGTCAGTTGTTTTACTTTATCTTTTGTTCTGTCTTGCTATGACATAATCAGTATTCATTCTTTCTAAACATATGAAGGTAAGTTAGTTGCCTACAATTTTGAAGTCGGTTGAATGAAGATAGTGTGAAGATATTTTTAATGTAATAACTTCGTCGATTATGGCTGACCTACTTTATCAACCTAATCAAAAAATATGACCCAAAATTGTATTCAAATATACATACATATTCGTAAACACACACTAATATACATATTTGTGTCGTGGTGGCCCGGAGGTTTAAGACGACCCCTCATGCATGAGGTTGCGGGTTTGAAACCTACCAACGGCAAGAACCAATGTGGACATTTTTCGAGTTATATGTACTTTCTAAAATTATCTAGACACCACTAACAAACGGTGAAGTAAAACATCGTGAGGAAACCTGGGCTTATAATTTCTAATTATAAGTTTGTAATCGCCAACCCGCATTGAGCAACGTGGTGATTAATGCAAACCTTCTCTGTGTGAGAAGAGACTTTATTCGGCATATAGGCTGTTGATGATATATATTTAGTTACATTTCAAAAAATTTATAAACATTAATTAACCCTTTGAGTACTGTCATTATAGACACAATTAAAGATCAATAGGTTGCGAGCACCGGTGTCCTAGCGGTCTTTGACAGTTTAATAATCAAAATTATTATGAACGAAATAAATACGCTAAATATTTGAGGACATCAAATATTCATGGCTAAAACTGCACGTACGCAAAAAGTTTAAACCCGTTCAGTGATACAAAATTCAGTATATTAAAGTGGTCGGTTTCAGTTCTAACAAACTCTACTGGATTTGCATGTTAACGATCTCGCATACCACAACAATAATTAAATACCTTTGCATACAAAGAATAATACTAAGCTATATAGTTATATTTAAACTTAGCACTCTTCGGTGACTTTCCAAGCGTATACAGGATGGTGACAGAAATGATTAAAAAAGAAGGCAACCTATGTCCATTACCAAGTTTTTATAATGAAATCCGGAGTTCGGGTTTGTCGTGAAAAAGTAACAAAAACAAAGTTACTTTGGCAGTTATAATGTTTCTGACAACTGAGGTAGGATTTAATCAGTGTTTTGACACAATCGTGAAATAGAAAACTTTTTCGTTTTTATTTCTTAATTTTTTATGAACGGCCTGTATTAAATAAAATATAGAAAGACTGTACTGCACAGGCTTTTGACCACTCACAAAGTCCCATTTCCCTCACTCTCTTAGAGCACCAATGGATAGCAAGTAGACGGCGAGTAGAGAGATATCAAACTGGGCTGGCGTTGACCAAAGGCGTGGCACGGTCTTCTAGATCACCCTTATAGTTGCAATTTTGCCTTTAACGGAGCCAGTTTTTTTAATAACTGACCCTATTTGCCTGGTAAGGTAGGCACGCTACTTACTTAATTATTAGTATAGAAGCGAACGTTAATTAAAATCTTCACCTTCATATTTCATTGAAGCGTAAAAGTTTATTCATAAATTAATTAACGGGCTTCCAACTTTTATAACGGCTGTTGTCGCTGTTCGCGATTACTAAATAATAAAAGGTGACTTTTAAACTAACTCGTAAACTGAAATTTATCGGCAATTAAATTTTAAATGGTTAACTTTTGAACGCTTTGTTACAATCTTCAATAGGCAATGAAAGAGCTCTTATTTTTAATGTTCACACAATCGTTATTTTAAATGAAATGTTTTCTTGCTTTATTATTTTCCACTTAATTTAGTTTGGATAGTGTAATTAAAACTTAAAAATCATTTTTTTATCGTTTATTTTACATTACATTCTGTGGTGCGTTTACACAGTTAGTGAACTTAAAGATCAGTGACATTGACATTTACTTTTTCTATTCTAAGCAGACTACAGATAAAAAAGAAATCAGCCTGCATTTAACTTTATACATAACATGAAACAGTTCTCAAACATTATCTACATAATAATATGTATGTATTTGTCTCTTATTCACTAACATCAATGATCAAATATACAAATAACACATTTAAAATATTCAAAAGTCTAACCCAAAGGAATGCCTTCAGAATGCATTTAAGTGCAACCTACACTCGGCACTCGGAATACGTGAATCTTTGAGAATAGTTCAGCCACATATTAGAATTTCTTACCATTTCCCAGGTGAGGTCCTTTCAAAAAAGAATCTACATATAACCAGATTATCTACTGAATATATACTGTTAGCTTCTGACCTAGTCAGGCAAAGTTTTTTTTTTATTTCAAAATTTCCAGTAACACTAGTAAATCTCGGTATAATTAGATAACTCCCTTTACATGGGAGATTCGAGAAACATAGCGGCATAGAAACATAACCCATGTTCCTCAGTAGTGTCACGAGAGCCTGGTGATACGTGACATATATTCTATCTCATAACCAACTACTTATGGGTTAATAACTTTCTGGAATTGCAGCAAAATGATGAGATAAGTGACGAGAAGGCCGACGAACTTGAACGGCAGTGATATGTCAATGTCCAGCATCCGAAGTAAGGAAAACGAGAGGTCCCTTGTCTCCGTCCACGCCAGTAGTGCTCGAGCCATACCGCGGCTTGACTTATCTATGAAAATACATGAGAATTAAATAATATTTTTAACCATATTAAGTATTATTACATATAGATTTGCAAAAATTCATCTTAAGTTCTATCTAAAATTAGTACACATTAGAAACACTATTGTAACAATTTTTTGAACGCACGGTTGGTCCGGTGGCTGGGCAACCGGCTGCAGTGCAACGTGTCGCGGATTCGATTCCCGCACGGAACAACACTTTGTGTGATCCACAAATTGTTGTTTTGGGTCTGGGTGTAATGCGTATGTGAGCTTGTATGTTTGTAAACGCACCTACGAGACAGGAGGATAATCCTAGTGTGGGGCAAACGTTTAAAAAAAATACCAGTTTAATATTTTATTAATTTTATTAGTCTAGCATGAGTGGAGTTTGAGACTGCCAAGTTCTTACGGAGAACGACCGAAAATCATTAATAATTAAAAAAAAACCAAATGAGTACCACAAATAGGCTTCGCTAAAGATATCATCTCATCTCAATATAAAACGAATTCATTCACCAAGCAATGGTGTATCAAAACACTGATATTATCGTTTGATATAACAGACCAGTTCTAGGAAGCAGTCAAAGAGATTGAACATAACTAAACTAACTAAGTAATAACAAGTTTAAGTTCAGTTCAATTTATGTGAGGTCAGATGTATAAGTAACTAATTGCATTGGGACTTCGCGGGTTATCAGGATGCAAAGGTTGATATGAACCCGGGAAACTTAATCTTGTTTTGCCCTTCTATAGTATTTGCATAAATATTAATCATGTGTATACAGTAAGTCGTTCTTCCGACTAATTAAAAATGAAATTTTAAAGTTGAGAAAAAACGAGAACGAAGTTAAATAAAAGCTAAAGGAATGTGATTAATCTACAAATTTTGTCCAAAGTATCTTAAATCATTGACTTAAAGTATGTATAGTAATAATACAGTATTGACAAGTATGTCATATAGTAGTAACTATATAATACTATGTAATAATAATACTGTATATAGTTACTACTATATCATTGAGTTCACGTCAGAGAGCACATCATTGATATAGTAGTAACTATATCAATGATATGCTCTGACGTGAACTGACATTGTCATTAAACGTTGACATTTAAACAACAAGTTTAGTTTTAGCTGACCTTTTCATGAAATACGCACAATTTATGAAATCATCATGGTTGATAATGTCATCATAATAAAATGTTCAATTTTACGGTCTACCCACGACATATACATTTTCGTTTTGGTAAATATTAACATACCAGTATATGTTTGTACAGTCGTATACCCGCATGTAGGCCCAAAAAAAGATTTGTAAATAAAAAAATATTTCAAGAAAATAAAGGCGGGTATTATTTTCATAAATGTTTCGAGAACCAATTGACATAAGCTGTATATTAAGATAACATAAGCTAACTAACATGCGATCGATTTATATGTAGTTAAGGTATTATTCTAGATAATTTAATATAATAGGCAAATTTCTCGGAAGCGAAATTCCCTACTAAAACCACTTTTAGGTACTGCTTCTGTGTCGAAGTAATTATTTATGTATTTGGAATGTATAAGGCCATATATACATTAAGGTTACATTATATAAACGTACCTACTAAAGAATAATAAATTAATGCGTAACATACTTTCGGTATAATATATTAATGTCAAAGTAAGTATACAAGTTGACTGAAGAAACAAACACATACTAACATAATGAACATAAAAACATCAATCAACATAAAAACCAACTATTACTAACAAAATAAAGACTAAAATGGACTTACCTAGTTGATTCTCATAAAGTCTCGAAGCCAGTAACTCCCTAAGTCTTCGGACTTCATCATGAACCTGGTCTCCAAGCATACATGGTGAGAACAATGGTAACATGATGCCTGCTAGCAGCCCCACGTAGGTAATCATGAATGACAAAGGCATCTGTAAGAAGGAAATGTATTAAAAAACTTAAAAATAACATAACATAACATAACATCATTTTTATCCCCGATAATATCCATTCTTCCAGTATTTCAGACTGTCTCGTTGGCCGAGTGGTTGCAAGTGCGACTGCTGGGCAAGGGGTTTCGGATTCGATTCCCGGGTCGGGGAAAGTATTGGGTTTTTTTAATAAAATTCTCAGTAGTAGCACGGAGTCTGGAATTGTTCCCCGTAAAAGGTAATAGACTCACCCCCTATTACATGGGGCTCATAACATAAATAGTGAAAAGTGGGTGTTACATTGTACAGTGGCATTAAGTTACGTAACGTGCACCTTGGCGCCCCTTCGGGGATAAAAGGCGTGATGTTATTTATCAAAAAATACTTACATCTTCCTTGATAATAGTCAAAGATACTCTGTAGCAGCAAGACAGAATATTGAGGAATGCAGACACGATTGTGACCAGCAACTAGAAAAAATAAAATATTTATTACACGTTAGAACTAGCCCTAATCAGTACTAAATTATCAGTATCTCGAAATCTTTACCTGCCATTTTACAGCTTCTATCAGATAATTGTAAGCTTTTATCATGTTGTGGTACAGATTCATCACCTTTTCCATCTTACAAAGAGTCTTGTTGCTATCAGCTTTCGAATACCCAAACTTCTCAATATTCAACGTTTTTGATATTTTACTATTTGACAGCGATAGCTCCATGTAGTAGTTTATCAGACGCAGCCGAGGAATTAGAAGACTCAGTAGGTGGCCACAAAAATGTACTTCTAATATGTGGATGATAGGGAACGGCAACATCCATAGCTCAAGGTTCTCCAAAGTAACAACAACATATGGTAGAGCAAACAATATCACATTGTACAGTATCATTAAAACTGTTGCTATCAAATTCCTTATCGAACCTTTGCCAATTTTTGGTCTACAGCCAACTTCTTTATCGAAAACGTTCAGCTCGTTGTAATAGCGGTGCATTCTCTTGATTGACACGACATTGAATAGCATGAAGAAGACGCATTGGAAATAGAAGATGAAGATGACGAAGTTCAACACGTATGCATTCCTGAGCAGGTACACCACACCCACGTAGTAACATGATGCCAGCAGGGAGTACACGGCCGCCAGAACTATGAAACCTACATGTACGTCGCCGATCAAAGGAAGTCTAATTATACCAAAAGCTAATTGACTTAAAATGAAAACCTTTGATATAGGATCGATGTAAGGTTTATCACTGGCACTGAAATAAGTGTTCACAAGTACTGAGGGAGGCGTCATGGCGATAAAAGTACGCAGACTCAAATGAACTTTTAACACTCAACACGACAGCACTTCACAGTATAGCCTGACAGGTAATAATCTAATTCAAATGACAATATTATCTGTACTCCATATCGGTCGGAATAATCCCATTAAATTAATTCGACGGTCTGTTGTTCCACACAACTTGACACTCGGTGACGTAATAATAAATGAATAATACATTAATAAGTAATGGGAAAATATCATCACATTCTTGGTTTTGTCTGAAAAAACTTCATATACATTGGAAGACAAAAATAAACAAAACTTATGCTGCTTTTGTACTGTTGCTATAAAGCATCTACCTTACTTGTCAGACAGACCCACATAGTAATTGAAAACTGAGCAAGAAAAAATCACTATTTGCCATAATCTCCGTCAACTGTCTACCAAAAAAATACCCAAATACCAATCCCAACATGACCCACGAATAGAATCCATGACTAGGCACATACAACCAATGACCAAAGGGAAACCACATTCCACGTCGTATAAAATCAATTTATTTAGTCTTTCGAGTTTTCGTGGGTTTGTGGACATGATAAAGACGTTATAAATTTCGCAACCCTCTTAATGCGGTACTCGTGACGCAATCCCACAATTGAAATGACGCCATTTTTCTTTACTCTTGCTTTTACAGACGTATGTACTAAAAAACGTTGGAGTCAATCTATCCGGACTTTAATGTCTAGATCTGAAGACGAGATTGCAAACATTTTCTAGGTATCCAATTGAGATCGAGCATTGCTTGAAATGATAGTTCAGCCATGCTAGGTAGATTTTCTATCTTTCATTATAGAAAATCGAATCACTTTCAAGAACGTTTAATTGGATTTGCTAAATGATAGAAAAGTGTGTTAAATAAATCAGAAATGATTACTTTTCCGTTTGAAAGCATTTTATATAACTTTTCCTTAAAATATAGCTTTAATAAATGAGATCTATTTTTCAGCTTGCAAAATTATTTATTGCTTACTTTAATCCTTCTCTTCCTGTTTTGCTATTTATTTCCTCAGTCGTATTATTTGTCACAGTTGTATCTCATAATGTTCACCAACAAATGTGATTATATTTTTGCTCTTGTGACAGAAATTATGACGATGTGTCCTCTGTCCGCTTTCATTATAATTAGAAGTAAAAGAGTGCTCTCTAGCTCTTTGTTCCCCACTTCAAATTAACTACAAAAATGTTATAAAAAGCCTTTGTTTGTCTATGGGGCGAGTCCGGCCGTTGTCACCGTAAACTTATTATGTCGCTTTCTCCAGTAATGGTAGGGCGAATTGTTATCAACTTGATATAAGTACCCTTCTGATTTACTGACGAGATTAATGAAAATTCTTAGCACAAAAACAAGGTCGGTTCAGTTTTCTTTGACTTTTGGTTGGACAGAAACTTCAAAATGTTTATAGACGACAGGAAGCTTGAAAAACTCTTTTTTTCTCTTGATTTTCCTTTCCGATCTACTGACTAAATATAAAGGGTTGTTATTTTTAGTCAAAAGTACGACATCTTTTTGTTAACTCTCGTTTACTGTGAAATAAAATGTATTAAATCAATTAGGATTTAAGGTGTGCCTTAGCACACCTCTTTAAAAGGCAGATATTAAGCTTCAACTTAGAGATACAATACTGACGACCAACAAAATATTACATTCAAAATCTTATCGACTGAGCCAATAATGTTCAAATTCGATAAATCTTAACACACAAACAAACAAATGTAACACAACTCCATTGATAGTGAAATTTTAGAACCATAAGCAATTTAGTGTACCGCGCGCTACTCGGGCACAGCGTAGTTTTAAATTAGATATGAGCTAGTCGGCCATCTTTACCCGAGCACTCCAAGACTGAATACATACAGATGAGCTCAATTTATAAGCTTTACATGCAAATGCAAAACTATGCTATCGAATATAGATCTGATAGTAAAAGGGCGTGACGAGACGCGGCGGACGGTGTTATTGTACACTCTGCGGTTTTCACTGATCTAGTGGGATTTTGTTATCATTGCTGACGTCGCTACATTTAGATATATTTTCTTCTTTCACGACCATTTTTTACGTTCTGTTAATATGCTTAGCAATAATAAGTATATTTTCTTCTATAAATGAAAATAGGTATTTTAAATCATTTGTTAATATCAACATACCAACTATAAGTTTCGATACAATAACTGCATCACTTCTCTTGCATCTCTGTTTACCTACCAACATATAATAAACAACAATCAAATCTACATCTAAAACCGATTACTGGCAGGGAATCACTACAGAACAGATAACAGCAACCAGTAACGAAATGAAGCGAAATATAATGATTTACGACATAGCTAAATGCGGTTACAAATACGCCTTTTCCTGTCCTCGAACTGACTAATACGTGAAAACAAAGGTTTCTGTTCGCATCTCCAATCAATCATATGACGTCACAATACACGATGGGTGAATCCCGGTCATTCTATAGCTTGTTTTACACAAACTATTGACAATGATACTGAAGTGGGGTTGCCTTGGGGGGAAGTGTGATTCCGGGCAATGAAATGGAGTTTATTCATTAGAAAACTTTTTTGATATGTATTAATATCATACATTTTTAATGAACATTAGTTATGCTAATGTTTACTACTTTACTAAGTTCTACTTATGAACTTTTTACGATCGAGGAGTTAAAGCATTTATTTCAATTAATCCTCAAAATTAAGCACTTTTCAAACGTCCAAATTCGAATTGACCATCCATCCGTCTGTCAGTGAAGCGAGGTGCTAGATACAAAGAGAGAATTGCTATAATTACATGTTATCATTTACAACAACCTTACTGTAGCGGTTACAGTAAATAAATCATATATCAAGGATGCCTGGACTTATTAAAACACTAGCTGTTACCCGAGCCTTCGTTAGCGTGAAATTATTCATATTTCTTATTAATTTATACTTTTTTGACGCGACAACGTGTTGATTGACAAGGCGTATTTGAGAGGTTTTTTTTTAAAGGGGGGAAAATCATCAAATGGCTGCTCCCGCCTGGGTGAGGCGGAAGGGAGTGTCAGACTCTTACTGACTAAAAACCACCCCGTTCCTTCTCCTGCACGTCGAGCCGGAGCCCCCGGTTACCCGTTAGGTTCTCCGCGACTCCGAATCGGCATCGGCCCTATTGGGCCCCATCTGTGGTGGTCTGATGGCTCTTTGAGGCGCGCGCGAAACGATGAAACGGAACGTTTATTGTCTATTCAAGATGGCGACTGCGGTTTATCTGTCAATGTCATTAAAATGAATTAATAAAACGAAATAACATCCGTAATCCGAATTTTGCGGATACATGTTGTCGACTCGAAATCGATATTTTTTATGTTTTGTTATTCAGGTAATGTATCGATCGAGTCTGCCGTACCCCTTGACGAAATTACTAATATAGAAGAAAAGAAACGTTGGCAACGCATTTGTCATTCCTCTAGTGTTGTAGCATACTGCGGTAACGCTCGCCATGTACTGAGAAATAAAGGACATTCATTCATTAAGGCAATCGCTGCGCCCGTTTGTCCACCATCCTAAAAAAGAATCATTTGAATATTAAATCTTATTATTTATTAACTGCATGCTGCCTTTTAAGTCTCCATCATAACTTGTACTCGTAAGTCAAGCGATATAATAAAGGTCGTCAGTCCACCTACTCTCGTTCGTAACCGACATCCACATACAGCCACTTTGATGCAAACTTATGCGCAGCAAAGGACTGTGATTTAGAAAAACCAAACTCACATTTCACAATATAATATATTCTGCAAGAAACGGTACAATTTTACTAGCAAGATATCTGCTGTTTTAAAAAGACTGCCTTATTAGCCGAGTGGTCGCAAGTGCGACAGCCGGGCAAGGGGCCTCGGATTCGATTTCCGGGTCTGGCGAAGTATTACTGTTTTTTTTATAAATTCTCAGTAGTAGCACTGAGTCTGGAATGGTGCCCGGTATATGGCAATAAGCTTGGGACTCATAACATAAATAGTGAAAAGTGGGTGTTACATTGTACAGTGGCATAATGTGTGATATGTATGTTATGTTATTTGTATATTTAATACCACAAACCACATGTATTCAATACAACAAATTCACAGACACAGCTTGTGGAATACGCACACAATATCTATCGCTATATATATAACACAATCACTCTATCGACATAGATATGGGGTGCGGTGCCAGAAGACCTCCCCGTGGTGCACCCTGGGTGCGGGCGACAGTCTCCCTAGCGGGGGTGATAGGGTTGGAGTGACTGTCGCCCGCAGCAGACTTCTGGACTGGGCGGGCGAACCCGATAGGGTTCTGGAGGCGGCGGGCTGTGTGCGGAGGCTCATAGCCCGCGCTTCCGAGGGGCATTTCTCCGCCCGTCTCTCTGGACATAGCAGAGAGCGTGGCGGAGAGGCAATGGCGGTGCTCGTTGTGCACTCACCCTGCCAGCGAGCAGCATCGGGACACAAGCTGTCCCCGATTGCAGCCGTCGATATCGTAATCCGTAAGGAGGTCACGGTCATGTTTTGTGACTCTGAACGGGACGAGGGTCTTGGCTTGGTCGCCCGGACCGCGAGGAAGATAACCTCTATAAAAAATTCCTCCAATACTAAGTTCTGGTGCGCGGCGAGAGTATGCATGGCTGAGGAGTAGTGTCAGTCGCGAGCGCACCCCCAGCTAGGGGACCAGTGGAACCTCTAGTTGGGAAACAAATTAACACTTACCCAGGTACAGGGGGCACTGCCTGGGTGGACCGAATATTTCCCCCATACTCGTGGGAACTGTATGGAGAATTTATCACACAAACCACAAGACGAGGAGGAGAGTGCGGGTGAGCTTGGCTCACCTGCAGTAGTAGGAGAAGGGAGGCCAAGTGGCTCCGGGACTCGTGGTGAGGCGCTGGACTCGTCCAGCAGGCCCCACACACGGGAGTCTAGTCGGAGGGGGTCGGACTCAGAGTCCGACACAAC